CAACGTCAGTGAGGAAATTTGAGTTGTTTTGTCATGACCCCCATGACTCCGCCCCTGGCCCAAACCCCCACTGCTTACTTTCAGTTTCCCCCTCCGCTTTTACTCTCAATTTCACTTTCTTTATTTTTTAATTTTCACTTTGAACTGTCCTCTTTTAATGCATGACGCTCTCGCTGGAACCAAAAAAACCGTACAAAAAAAGTTCGGAGACCAAGAGCCTAGCAAGTCTCTCGTAAAAGTCTTTACAAAAAACAACAAATTCTTGTTCTTGATCTGGCATAGGGACAAAGACAGTCTTCGTCAGACTTGCTTTTCCCGCAAAAAAAGGAAGGGAACTCCCAGGAGGATTGCGATTAAACCAAAAGTGGTTTATTTAAATGACAAAAATCAAAAATATAATGCACTGCCCGGGAATCGAACCCGGGTCGCAAGAATGGGAATCTTGCATGATACCACTACACCAGCAGTGCTCTTGATGGGTATTTAAATATTCCTCATGCAATGAAAAATCGCATTGAATACCCAGTTTTTTTATATCAACATTTTATTGAAATCTGAAATTCCCCAAATGGTTTACAGTTTTACACACAAATTAATTTGATGTTTAAAAAGATGCCACTAACTAACATATAATAGATTTTGAAAAATTGCCAGCAGAAAGAATTTAGACAGTTTTCGAAAAAAAATAGCCTTTGAAAGCAATGCTCGCTTACAAGTTCATCACTGAAAGAAAGACAATTTGATAGCAAAACCGTATAGAATAATGTGCCCATAAGGATAGGAATAAAATCAGTTAAAATTCAAACAGGTTTTTTTCAGAAAAATGCTCAAACGCGCGTTTAATTATTTTTGAGAGCGCATTTTCCTTACGAAAAATTTGTATGTACGGGCTGTAACCAAAACTCAGATACGACCCTCAAATTGAGCATTTCAAATACAAACCCTTGTTTTTTTGAGGGATTTTCAGATTCTACGTAAAATTTCCGGTATGTTCATAAAGCATAAGTTATGCCGATATTTACGGGTTTGCGAGAAAATGGCGACAAACTTAGTGCAGACACAATAAATGGGATTTAGCTTGACTTTCTCGAACAATTGTGTAAGAACAGTTTAAGTTTCGGCATTACATAAGTAAAAAATGTTACTTATATTATTAACCGCGATGGTTCTGATTCAATCATGTTACCTCTTCATGAAAAATATCCTCTCTTCTTTCAACTCCTTGTTAATAAAAATTAATTATGAATAAATGTGCTATGGAGCATAATAAAATGCGTGTCTGAATATTTTTCTGAAAAAACTAGTTTTTCGGAAGTTTTAATCGAATTTATTCCGCCGATTTGGTCTTTGTAAAACTCTTTATTCCAGCCACATAAAAGCCAGTCAGTTGCACATGTAAAATCCTATTCCCACTTCTAAAAGATTTGCAATCTCCATAGTTTTAGCTGAAAACCCTCAGAAATAATTGCGAAAAAATACATTTTAAGTTGCAAAGCAATTGCATTTCTAGAAAAACTTGTTTTCGTTATTGTAATTGCTCAGAAATCCAATCCAAGTTCATCTCAATTCACCTACAACCAAACCGATTGGAATCATTGGATAAAATAAAATTTTATAGATTATTGAATTTTATTCTGCTATTACAGCCGCACAGTCAGGCAACCCAACTTACGCAATACGTTCAATCTTCCCCAAATCTGACAGCCCCTATCAAAACATAACCTGTTTTCTTCAAATATTGTTGCAAAAGAAGTGAAAATGTAGTTTTGATTTAGTGTTGATGTCGAAATAATTGAATCAAGTAAAATGAACGCATTGTGGGTCGGTTCGGACGTCGATTTGCCCACTTTGCACAAATGTAGGCTGGCTGAAAAATTGGAATTTCGTTTAACTTGTCTGGTGAACAATAAGGCTCGCAGTGAACATTCCATGAAAACCTACGATGAAGTCTTCGACCGTTTGGACTATGATAGCAGTCCAAAGCAGACAAGATCTGGCACATGGCCGTAAGTGTTTAAAACCCTTTAATTTTTGGAACATTTTTGCTCACTGGGTTAACAGTGTTAATTGGTGGGTTGGTGTTTTGGGCGGTTGTCGTTTTTCGCAGTTGCAGTGCATTTGTGCAGATTTAGTTTTGCAGTAAATTAATTACTTTTAAGTTTGTTATTTGAAGCATTCAATTTTGGTATTAAATTTCATTTATTCACTCTGTTAATATGTATCCGATATGGTCTAGTGGCTAGGATACCTGGCTTTCACCCAGGAGGCTCGGGTTCGATTCCCGGTATCGGAATAATTTTTTTTTGCATTTTTTGCCGCAGTTGCTTTTTATCACTTTTTATTTTCCAACCACTTCAATTAGCCAATTTTTTAAAGAACTGAAGAGAACCAGTAGAAAGCAAAAAAACATTTTTTGGTGTTTGTTTGAAAACAAATGAAGTATTTATGTATTTTTGTAATCAAGTTTCAATATTGCAGTTAAAAAACGGCGGGAGAAATAGGTTTAGTCCTTTTCCAGTTTCCATCCCTCTCGCTTTTGAAATAGAAACATTGCTCCTTTTCTATCAGTTTTCTCTCATTTAAATTCACTACTTATTCATAAGAAAACAAAGGACGCCCTGAGAAGTGTTTGATACGATGATGGCGAGCCCTGATTTCCTATGAGAGAACTGCGAATTTCATGCAGTAAAAGTAGACACAGGAAAATCGCATTTCCTGAAGAATCACCGCTAAAAAAGCTGGTCTGGGCTGGTCTGGAAAGGATAATGGGCAAGAGGCAAGCATTTTGTCTATAGCTTCTTTAACTTACAATACATATATATACTTAGCAATCAAACTCGAAATATTGGTTTTCTGGGAAGCGTGATACGAGGAAATCGCACGCATTTCAGGAAATATTTCCGTCGTCAAAAGACTCATTTTCAGTTTTTGTACCTAATTGGAAACTTTTGGATTCAACCACGCCATTAATTTCTGGAAAACTTACGTAACAACATGAAAAAGTAGGTAAATACTTGCTTTATTTAGAAACGTTTTCTCTCTTATATTGCTTATCAAAAGTTTACTACCGCCATTAAACAATTACGAATTTTGGCATGATATTAAACTCAATCAATTTATGAAACACCCTGTATAATAAACGCGCATGCAAATTTAATAATTTGTTTAAACTTGGACTGTGAATTTGTTTTCATACTAAGCGAAATAATTGTGCTCAGTGTTTATTTAAATTATTTGAATGCCGATTTACGGATTAAACATCTGTTGTTTTATGAGCGAACAAACCGAAAATACAACGAAAAATCAAGGTAGTGTGGTAGTATTGAAATCATTCTGGTGCGTTGTTGTTGAACATTTTTTGAAAAAAATTGCGCTTAAAATGGATTCTGAGCCTGGAAATCAAAGCAAAACGGCTAATGGATATTCTAGATCAGTGAGCATGTTTGATGGTGATCACATGAACAGGTACCTAGATAAAAATCCACTTGATTAACTAGAATTTGGTTCCATTTGATTGTACCCTGGTTTGTTCAAGTTTTGATTAGGCTTAAATCGACTGATTTACACGAGCAAACGTTCAGTAAAACTTTGTGAATTCAGTGAATTCTAATGCGTAGACGCAGTATTTTGAATACGTCGGCGACCACCCTGTGCAGATGAAGAAAATTGAAATAATCCATGAAAGTAAATTCGTTTTTCTTTTGGTTGCAGAAGAACAAGATCTCTCAACGCACCATCACCAGTACAACATTTTGGACCATGTGGGCGAATTATGAAAAATTCGGCCATGGTTATGTAAGTACCATATTTGATCTATCTTAGTGGTTTAATGGGTTATTAAACTTTCTTTATTTATTGTTGACCCTTGTTAAGACAAGATTTATCTTCTGTATCTTATCTTACTAATTCTTATGTAAATTTGTAAATGTTCTTTGTGTTTTGCACCAAAGAAGCGCTCAGGCACTGGGAAAAACGATAAAGAACTGCAGAAAAGTTAGCCAGAATAAAAAATGAAAATACTGACAGGACAGGTTTTCTTACGATTTCTTCCATGATATTTTTCCCAAAAAGTTATCAACTGAATTTTTTGCTTTCATCGTAAACGCCAAACGTAATAAGCCAAGTTATCACTTAAATAATTTATCAATCATTAAATGCGAAATGAATTATTTAATGCGTATTGATTGGAAGATAGTTGCGACTGTCCTTGAGGCTGACTGGGTAAAAAATAATTGTGAATCGTTAATGCGAGTGTGAAAATTAACAGCTGACAATGTAAAAACTAAACGAAAATTAGTCGAAATAGCAGCTGATATAAATGAAACGACAGTCAATAAAACGTTTGCACGGAAAAAGTCGATAAAAATGTAAATTAAATGGCATCCGAATTGGAAATCAGCAAATATGACATACATCGAATGGGAACGGTGGGAAGTACATTATGCAATAAAACTGATAACACAAATAATGTTGTCAGCTAAATGAAAATGCAATATATCTGTTACTACAATTGACCCGATCCTCTGAAGGTGAAATATCTTGGTGAAGTAAAGTAATAATTATTTTTACCTTTTGGGTATTTTTGCATATTACACGTAATTCCACTTGAGCGAACGATTTCTATTTCACTGTAAATCGTATCTGGCTGCGAATAAAAGAACCAATAGAATACCGAATAATTTTTTTAAACTGCTTGAAACGCGAGTTTTCCGGCCTTTTAAGCCTAGAGCTGGTTTAGAGAGCGTAGAGCAAGCTATCTTTGAAGAAACACGGGCGAAACCTCCGGACAGAAATATTTTCCATTAGGCTCAAAAGCCCGAAAAACTCAACACTTTAAAGTGCATTTTATAATTATATGTATTTCGTTTTGTCTTCGAATGTATTTTAGTTATATTTGCGGAATTTTTCAATTGAACACCTGCATTGGTTTACACTTTTAGTTGCAATTTCGCACATCTAATGATAAGAAATATAAGTCGTTTTCAAAGTGTATATGCGTGTTTCCGATTTCGCATAAACTTTGACGCATGAAAGGTAGCAAAAAATGTAATAATCATTGTTGTTGATTAAATAGTGTCTGCATAATACTTCACGTGTACATGTGGGAAACCATTCGTTCTCTACATGATATTTGGCGAATCTTTTCACTAACTATAACGTTAACAGCGATAAGACTATCAGAGATACATACATACTCTCTATACTTAATTGAACTCGAAAATAAATATTATATTAGTAGAAACACAGAGACTCTGCGCAGTTTACGATCGTGTGAAATGCAATACGAGCGTTCGGAGATACGCACAATGTTGACTAAAATTCAATTCAACTTTTTTAGATTCTTATTAAACAAATTCTTTGTTTGATTTAACAATTCGTTTTTTTTAATCAACAAGCAGCAAGGAAAATCAGCATGCCAAATTTACGTGTTCGACGAAATATTTCTATGTGAAACGTTGGCCTAGCTATGCTGGGTTTTCATTAATGATTATAAATTCTCGTAAAAAAAATCGTTTTTCATTAAATGAAAGGTTTTTATATGGACGTTTTTTTCTACTTTTTGCTGCCTAATTTGCTACTTTTGTTTGGGGTTGCCTAAGCGAATTTAAATAATTTGTTAAATATTTCATAAAAGTATGCTGGCGGTGACTGTAGCTTCAACACTACTGTCTAAAGTGTTGAGATTTCAGCAGAAATCCTACAGCTTCTCAAAAAATTATAATAAACTGTACAGGGTGTTTTAATAGTGTCATGTTTTTGGGTCAAAGTTTAAATCCGTCTGCGGTCAAAACCGGGTAACTCAGACCAAAAAAATGTATACGATATAAGCCTTTTGTCGTTTAGTAATTTAGATCTTTAATCGTCTGTGTACCTTGAGTCATGCGAGAGATATTAATTTTTTTATGACCAGTCACATGTTTGGCCCGAAATATACTTCAACTTTTTATGCGAAGAAATTTTCCACCGAAAACGTTGTCCAAACAAAATTTTATTGCAACCTCTGGCGGTTTTGTTACTTATGTAACTCCATAAAGAAATAATTCAAAAAATATATCTGTAGGCGTGAAAACAAGACACATTTTTCCTTACGAAAACCGTTTTTTTGCAAATTAAGAAAAGGTTTAAGTAAATTCCGGGTGGAAAATGTGAAAAAGTGTAAAAAAATTAATTTAATCGTATACTTTTTCTTTTTCTAGGCTAATCTGTGTTGTCCGCAGACAAATTTAAACTTTCACCAAGAAAACGTTTTTAGCAACAGTATTTAAACACCCTGCACAATATGTGTGATTCATTTGTTGCTAATTTGGCAATTGAAATTTTGTCGAATAATCGAGCTTTGATTGGATGAAAAAATTATTCAAATCGGATCACCGACTGAGAACATATTCACAGTCAAAAGTTAGGGAATTTACGCGAGTTTTGAGGAAACATATCGTTGTCTAAATCGTCGATTCTAATTTCATATTCTATTTGGGTTTTTGAAGCAAAAGTGAGCAAAACCATCCAGAAGGAATCTTAGTGATCAAATATATTTGCATTGAGATGAGAAAAAATGTACAGAGGGTTTCTAATTAAAAAAAATGGAGAAAAGCCGCCTTGGAAGATTATTTTTTCTATATATTATCTATAGACATATGGTAATTAACTTTTTGGCATTTCGTGATTAATCCTTGTTCGTTAGCAAACATAAAAAAAATTAAAGCCGATTAGAAACTATAAATTATTTCGTTTTTTTATTACTAAATCAAATCAAGTCATTAAATTAAAATATTGTAACGGAAATGGCCTGGGGTACTCACGTTTGGAATGGGGGATCGAAATTCATGGTATTTGAGTAAATGGGAGCCCCATTTGGGCCCCATTTACTGTCAAATATGACACTGACAAGCGGGAAGTTTCGCACCTGTTCTGGAGATTTCTAGAACTATCTGGAATACCTGGAGAAAAGTATATAAGCGACGACGAGAACCAGACAGAGAAGTGAAGTGACAGAAGCGTCCGAGTGCAGAAGAAGTTAAACTCCGGGAGTCGGAAACGCGTGTTTTCCGTTTGTTATTGTTGTTGTTTGTGAAGTTGACGTTAATTTAGAAGTTAGTTTGTTCCTGTTCCGTAGTTAAAGTTGTACCGAGTGGAATAAAAGTTGTAAACTGAAGAAAGAGTCTAATACTCGGCCATCCACGGCACAATATGCTTTAATGCCGCAGAAATTTTCAAATATATTTTATGGACAAATCGAATCATTGACAAAAAAACAATAGTACACGACATAAAACTAACAAACTTTTTGCAAAAAATACCAAATATACAGACTATTCTATTAAAAATAACGCAATATTTTTCCATTAAATAGACAACGACACATCGAAAAATTCCTCCCTGTTCATGCCCGACTGTGGGAGTTTGTATTAAAATGTACCTACATTTATTAACTGGAATCGGTAATATAGAGTTAATTCTTGAAATTAATAAAATTATTTAATTCACAGAAGAAAAGCTCACACTGTATGTACAGGATTAATATGAAATTGTTTTATTACGTGCGAATGTGTAGATACCCAAAAAATATTTGCTTGTCGTTATTGTTCGAGCTGCATCTACTCAATTTGGTTTTGATAATACAGAATATTTCATAAAAGCCCTAACGACATTAACTTCAAGTCAAATCGGCCGTTTTGTTGTACTGTTGGTGGGTCATTAAAAACTGAAGAGGAGAACAATGACTTTTTGAGTGAATTTTTCGACTAATGCTCATATTTTGTAGTCATCCCCATTTTCAATTTGATTAAAGTTACCACTGTATCCGTGGAAAATAACTTTACCAGAAGAATTTTTGCAATCTTGGCCGACTTCATCAGTTCATGTTGAATCGATTTTCTAGGTATCGTGAAGCTCCGAGAGCGTTTCCATAAGTAGCTTTTACTTTTGTTTCACGTTCAAAGTTGTTGGTTTTCGATAATTCCAAAGTTATGTTTGATACATTAACCATGTTGTGTTGGTTTGGTTGTGGTTGGGTGTAGACCGTCGGTCGCGTACTGCGATAAACGTGTGAAACCAAACGCAGAATAATTTCCAGTTTGTTCTTGTTGGTCAGCCAGTGAGTTTGCAACAACCCGAAAAGTTCGCTAGGTTTTGTTCAGTGGAAATTTCATTCAGTTTATGTAGAAATTGGAGCGGAAAACAATGCACAATCGTTTAACGTGGGAAAAATTTCAAAAACCTATTCGGTATTCAATGACCCGGTCGGCCAGCATTGTAAATGTAAATTCGCGTTGATGAAGATACCAATTACATTCTAGATTTGAGCTTCTGTGATATAAATATTTGCCCGGTTCTGTTCACTGGAAACAAGTCTGTGATATAAAAATGGTAGCCGAGAGTGATACAGTGATTTGCTTAGAAAGACATTGTCAAGGCGCGCACCATGAAGGTGTCGATTGTTCTAAGCCAGAATACGAAATAAATAATAATAGTGATAATTTTGGTACAAATGGAGAGTATGGGAGAAATGCTGTGATGGTTCGCAAAAGCAATGCCATCCAGTATAGGTGAGGATTTGTTTATCCGATCAATCTTATGCAAATTTTCCTTGGCCTTTTACATATAATAGTGTTTTTGTATTATTTTTCCAGGACAATCCAGGACCCAGCTAGCCAAAGGTTGACATGGTACAAGCCGCCTTTGACTGTTCTGGTCATAAAGAAGGTGCGAGATGCCACAGTTTACTCCCCTTTTGTTAAATTAGTGCAATGGCTCATACAGGTAAGCAAACGATCCTGAACTAGGAAAATAATCACCGGCATTATAGTCATATTTGCCAAGGTTGTGAATTGCGAAAAACCACAAAAATGTTAACTGGCTATTAAGCAATATTGACTGTTTCAATTGGGAAGTTTTTACATAATAATAGCGGAAATGTACCTATATTTAGATGCCCACGAAAAAATACATTTGTGGTCATCTAACCCAGGCCAGGTCGTTCAATTACGTGCGTGTGTTCTTCTACGCTCGTACTGTTTAAACTTTCCATTTCTTGTCTTTTGCCTTGACACAGAAACACTAGTGTTTTTGTTACGTTTACGCATTTTACTACATTTGAGGAGTTTTTCGATTAGATTTGGTGAAATCCTAAACCGCAAGTCATGAATGACTT